GAAAGGGACGACGACGCAGCCGTAGGGGTCGTTCAAGGAGCAGAACAGGCGTAAGCCCCAAAAGAAGGAGAAGCCGCAGTCGTCGTGCATCGAGACGCAGCTCCAGGAGGAGTAGAAGGCGCGCCTCAAGGTCCAGGAGGAGGAGGGTGAAGTAAAACCCTCATTCTCCGTAAGTATTCTCTCAGTTGTTGAGTAGTCAAGTGTAAAAGTGGTTGTGGCAGCAAGTCGCGTCAACGAAAGAATATGATTTCAGGTCTGATCTCAATTTCTGAAGATCCCTGCAAGCATAGGCGAGGAACCATCCATTATTCTAACCCAATGAGCTCACAAATAAAGGTTTCCTCGAAAACTTCTCCTGTGCACCACAGCGAATACAGAGAGAGAGAATAGTAAAGCTCGATCTAATCACGTGTATTGCTAAGATGCACTGTCTTCGGTGACGTTCAATGGGTGTGTATAGGAATGGTTGTGAAAAGAAAAGCTCACGCTCGTTAAAAGCTCAGCATTCGGGGTAGGCCGGTTTAGATCGTTAGGTGAATCTGCCAGCATACACCAGGTCTTGGAAAGAGACCGAAACTGCTCTTCTTTCATAATGAATTACCGCGTGATGAGCCCTCTGTTCTGATAAGCAATCTCTGAATAGTGTGCGGCTGTTGATCCCTTCGAGTCGAAGCTGACTTCAACTCTATGAATATGCTCGGCATAGCTTATTATCTACACAAAGTAGTATCTCACCACTACGAGTGCGCGGAACAAGAGTAGTGAGATTGGCTGATATACAATTCAAAATCCATGAACGAAAGAGACGGGGAGTATCAAACGAGGAGAGCTGTACGAATAACATCCATCATGTGTCAAACGGGCAATCCTACTGCTTCGACTTCCGCCTACGTAATCGAAGTGAAACACGGGGTTCTCCTAGTGTACAGGTGACTGTGCGCTGTGTGGTAGTGTGTGTGTGTTGTGTGCCTGTGTATGAATGTCTGTGTGTCCAAAATCCATAACTCCTGTCCCACGTCCAAACTCCTGTGGACCTAGAACGTTCAAACTTGGTAGGAGTATAAAGGCAGGATGGGAACACTTACTGTGGATTGCATGACCAGACTCTGCTCACAGGAGGCGCGTTTTGCGCGAAATAACTGTTCAACCGTAAATTCGTAACTACTGTTCCCGTGGATCTGGAACGTTCAAATTTAGTCGGACTAGAGGCGACATGATGGAAACACTTGTGGTGGATGGCGAGCCAGGACTCCGCCCCCAGTGGGCGGGGTTTGAGCAGGATCTCGTAGCTACATTTAACGGGCACCTAGAGCGTACAACTTTAGTGGAGGTACTGGCGGCATGACGGGAAATCCTTTGGTAGTTGACAGGACCGGACTCCGCCCACAGGGGATGAGGCTTGGGCTAACAGGGTCAGTTTCTATCCAGGGCACCCAAACTTTGTAGGAGCACAGGCGGCCGTATGGGAACTCTTATGAAATATATGTTTAAGCGAAAATTCATAACTCCCGTCCCCGTGGACCTAGAGCGTTCAAACTTGGTAGGAGTATAGGGGAAGGATGGGAACACTTATTGTGGGTGCACGACCAGACTCTGCCCACAGGGAGCAAGGTTTCCGCGAAATAAATTTTTGAGCAGAAATCAATAACTCTTGATCCCGTGGGCTTGGAGAGTTCAAAACTGATTGGAGTAGAGAAGGCAGGATGGGATCACTGGCAATACATGAGGCCTTAGAGAACGGGATCCATTAACCAATCACATCCTAGCGCATTTTTTCACTCGACTAGAGGGGCAGGTGCAGTGATGGGGACCGATCAAGGGTTTTGAAATATAAGGAGATAGAAATTGGTACGTTCCATGCTATTAGATCGCGAAATGGATCCTGTTCTTCTTCTTTACGATTCTTGGCAAAACATATCCAACCGCTAATAATCTTAGATTCTCATTTAATGATATGTCCGTGAAAAAAGGAAGATTCATTGATAAAAACACTTGATAATGGTGATACAATGACTGGACAACATTCATGAATACCATGCAAGGCTTTGGTTGCCCACCAGTTTAGCCTTCAATGGGTCATTATTTTTAGGATTAACAGCAACAGATCGAGACTACTAACCATAGGCATAAACGTCGCCGCATTTAAGACGGCCACAGGAAGGACCTAGGAGGAGGTCCAGCGTGGCTCAAAATCTTTTACTACGAGTGTCTTCAATCAAGTTCAAAGGTTCAAGACTTTCTGAATTTCTCTTTTGTGTGGCCGTAGTCTGAGCCCAAGTGTGTGTGAAGCTAGCTCGGAACGAGCAGCCCTTGTACCGTGTGCTGGCCATGTACACTTCATATATCTACGTTGGTACTAAGTAAGCTATGCATTCTTACCAGTTATCAATAATCAGCTGAAGGAATGATGGCGGATGGATAATGAAGTTTAGAAATACAATGGCTCATTGTTGAAGATTGTTCAAGGGTGGATGTAACGCAAAGACTGTAAAGGTGCCACATACATGAAGCTACACGAAGAAAGTGCTGAGATTGGCTGCTTCCATAGTCCACGATTTGGCGAGCGACCAGCTCGGACCTATCTCGCGAGGGACCGCTCGACTGACCTCACGATTGGTCGCTCGACTGATCGCGCGATCTGCTCGGGACCGTCCTCGGCGGCACCCATGGCTAGCGCGGCCGGGTGTGGTGCGATTCACGCGTCAATATGATGAGGTCATCGGGCAAAAAGCTTTAAAATATCATGCCTACCATCATAATGGAAGGAATAAGAATTTATAAGTAGAATAAGTAAAGAAATGACCAACTATGCACGTTTACAGAAGGATTGCGTTCTCTAGAATCAAAAAATTTGGATTTTTTCTAATTCTGGACGTTTAACAAGTAAATTGTTGACCTGTGATGTGAATTCCTTCCTATTCTCGAAGGGGCTTCATTGCCATAGTAAAGAGAATTGCTCTAATTCATGGCGAAGCCGTGGACTACTGCAAATTTATTTGGTCCATCTCAACAGAAATGTACTGAAACGGTGCTGCGTGCGCGAAGAGCTGTAATGGGGTCACGCGTGAAGCGCGCGCCCCCCAGCGCGGCCTCCTCGACCGATCGAGCGACCGGTGGAGCGACCAGTCGCGCGACTGGTCACCGGTCGCTCGCGAGATGGATCCGCGACCAGTCGCGCGACCGGTCGTGGACTATGAAAGCAGCCATTGGGTAGAGCTACGCTCCGGTTGCGCCGTCCGGGCCCATTTGCCGAGCACCCATTACGCGACCAACATAGCTTACTGAACGGCCTCTGTACCATCGGTTTATCACTTTTTCACTCTGGTATGAGTACAATCGCCCGTTTCGAGTGCACCCGGTAAACTGCGAAATTCGTGGCGATTTGGACGACTCTGGCGTTTATCATCGAGATATATAGAATTGCTTGAACCGTGTAGGCAACATTGAACCACTGTCTTTCACGGAAACGTAGCATGGCTGAAAAAACGCCCTCGAGAAGACTCAGTGTGATTACACGCTATCGCTAGTGTGCTCCTACTTGCTACACTCCCAATCGTCTCACAACGTAGTTCGCACATTAAGGTACCCATGTCGCAAGATAAGGAAGGTGATGAGAAAAGGCGGTTGTTGATAGGAACTGGAACGCAGAATATTTGCTGTAGCAATGCGTCTTGACGGGAGGAGTGAAATGACCTGGTAATGGGTGTGCTCTACGCAAAGGAAGCACATGGATTCATTACATGTAATGTACCTCTTAATACGTAAGAGTGGAGCTTGTTTGCTTCTGCTCCTCACCTCCTTAGAGATCATGTGGGCTTGTTAGGGCGTAAGATTGGTATCACATTTCGAAGACACGTTGCAACCGCTGGATAGGCGAGGTAGTATTATCATGGTTTTCATGTACACATGTGGTATCTTTTGGGAGTATATAAAAGAGGCCGAACGAGTAGGTCTAGTCGATCTACTAACATGCCGTGCCACGGGGGATCTCGCAGAAGCAGAAGGTCTAGTCGAAGCCGTAGCCGCCGAGGAAGAAGCAAGTCTGGATCAGTGTCTCCAGCGCGACGCAGCCGACGAAGTGCTAGCCGAAGAAGAGGGCGCTCACGTAAGAACTGCTCATATGATAATAATTCAACAAAGTGCTGTTGAGTCGTGAGTCTTGCATTTTCAGGAAGAGCTTCGAGTTATCGAAAGAGATCGAGGCGATCAGTGAGAAGCCGACGCTCAAGGAGCGCGTCTAGAAAGGGACAACGTCGCAGCCGTAGGGGTCGTCGCTCAAGGAGCAGAGCAGGCCAAAGCCCCAAAGCAAGAAGAAGCCGCAGCCGTGCTTCGAGACGCAGCTCCAGAAGGAGTAGAAGGGGCGCCTCAAAATCCAGGAGGAGAAGAGTGAAGTGAAACTCATACTCACCGTAAGTATTCTGTCAGTTGTTGATCGTCAAAGGTAAAAGTGGTTATGGCAGCAAGTCGTGTCAATGAAAGAAGTTAATTTCAGGTCTGATCTGATCTCAGTCTCTCTGATCTCAATTCCCGAAGACCCCTGCAAGCATAGCCGAGGAACCATCCATTCTTCTAACCCATTGAGCTCACAAATAAAGGTTTCCTCGAAAGTTTGTTCTGAGTGTCAATGCTTGAATGCATATGTTACGATGTGCACATTCTCCGGACACATTGGAAATTATACATGAGGTTCGAATCACTCAAGACATAGAGTTGAACGAGTGCTACCATCTGTAATGAGGTCACGATACTTGCGCGGCTTCATAAGTTGGAGCTGTTGGGAACCAACTGTCTGACGATCGTCGGAGGAAATTCCCCAAGGCTTTTGGGAATCTCGCTTCTCAAAAGCTTGAAGAATGCTGAAACTTTACAAACTTTTAACCAAACTTTGTTTCTGTTTTGGTAGTTATTGAGGAACAATATCGGTCGTTGAGAAACTTCGCTTTTCGCAACCACCCTGCATGAGAGTTATTTAATCCGATACTGACGTTCGACAGTCTCGGTGTGCTCATTGATAACTAGTATCCGAGCAACACAACGTTATTATCAATCGGTTAGGTATGCGTGAAGCAAGAGTAATCAGATGCCTCCGCATCATAGCTCACACGTCCTTCAACTGAAGGAGAGAAAGATGCAGGGAGAACAGAAGCACCATTGTATCAGTGACGAAGAGCAGAATGGGAACGGCTACATGAGCTCTTTTATGCAGGTTTCATCTGAGCGAATGTACATATATGATTGAAAATATCCTTGTGCTGTGCAAGTTCGTCAGGTGGAACATTTATTAATTCAACGGCCTAATTTTTGACGCCATCGTCTTCTTGGGGGCCTAAACGTAACTCGAGGTGATTGGCACAGTGTCGAAAAAGTGCATCACCCTCTTTGGCGAATGTGACGGCAAATCCAAACCCACGCGGATATAAAATTCGCTATCGCCAAGGGCGACTGTTAGAAGCGAAAGAGACTTCTCGTGCTGTCTCCCCTGTGGTAAAGAAGATCACGTCATAATGCTACTAAGTCACAAGTCGCAGTGCGGTATATATGGCAAAAGATCGTTGGTTATGGACGGGCACTTATCTCTACCATTCACTTTAGGATTTCTTCGAAAAATCCAGAACGCCTGTAATGCCTTTCTCACTGAAATTTCCGTTTACTACTCTAATATCACTTCACAGTGCACTTTACTTCAATAATATCACTTCACAGTGCACTTTACTTCAAAGTTGTTTTCGTTGTGCTCCTCAATTTCATGCCCACCAATTCTCGAATGCTTTAGGCCTCTTAAGAAGACGATAGCGCCGTTGTTGGCCGTGTCGTGTTAATGTTAGGCCGTTTAACTAAGAAATTGTTCCACCTGACAACCTCGCACGGCACAAGCGTAATCATCAACAACTATGCCGAGGTTAAAGCAAGAGTAAATTTGGAGGTTGAGCGAATGTAGTGTTTCTCGAACTAAGCCCAGGAGGGTAGGAGCACTGGGGTGGTTGAAATGATCACCCTGTGTGAAAAGCTGCGAACTCGTTCACCCGCTGCTCCTTCCCTCCTATTGCCTAGCTTTAAGATAGCATTTCCCTGGTATAACACTGAACAGCTCTCCTCCTCGCAACTACATTTTCACCGCCAGCTCTTACGATTAGTGGGACGGATCACTTTGCAATTCCATGCGATGAGGCATATTCACAATCCCTCCAATCATCTTATTTCAGAGTGGCTATTTCGTAACATGCAGCGTTTAAACACCTCGTACATTTGGGTAGCTGGATGTACATAGCTGGCCTAGTGACGCAAGCCAATCAACATATCCTATGAGTCCACGATCGAGGATATTGTAGCTTATAGTATTTTGAGTAACAATTTAGATACTTAAAAAAACTGTGGGAACTAAGTAGTTCTGGAAAAGATTTATAAGATTCCGTTGCTGCAGAGGGGGGGATCAGTACATTCGGCATCTCAGTAATTAATATCTCCCACAATGGCGCAGTGTGGGCAAAAGGTAACTACATATTCGAATCCCTTATGGTTCACTCTTATCAACAAGACAACCCATAGCGCGGCTTCCTTTTTGGCGTTTACCAATCCCGTATGAAGGATGGGTTCCCGCATTTGACTTCCATACAGAATCGTTGTGACCTAATGAGTGCATATGTGGCTTATACATTTACTTGCGTTGGCAGGTAAAAGTCGGTGTTTTTAACCTCCCACACGAATCCGCCACCAATTAACCGGTCTCTGAGATGGGAGGTTTATTGGCCTGCCCCTTTAGTGGTCCGAGATACAATTCCCACACCACAAACAAAGTGATAATGCGCCACTTGTCACCACATCACTCAACATCGCTCTACCATCATAAAGGAAATTCTTCGTGCAATTGCCTACAGTTTAGTAATAAATAATAATTTATTCAATAAATACTATGTGAAATTGGAATGTCATAGAAGTGATGTACAAGCAACCCTGATAAAAGCTTTCTATATTCTGATTTAAAAAATGCAAAGTCCACAATCGAGTTCATTTGTTTCCCCAAAATCGACATCGATCGCCCGGCTTGGTATCCCGCGTACGACCATGACATTGTACTTATCAATCACCTACGCTATACAGTCTAGTAGCTACATATCTCAAGTATTGTAGCCCTTAGGCCTTGGAGGAACGACCGGAATCGGAGGGCGACTTGGCGGTGCAGGAGGGAGTGGTGCTTGCCTCACTGGAGCGTTTGTGGGGCAAGCAGACTGGAGCGGTTGTACCGTACATCTGAACGAATATGATGAGTTTATACTCTCAATTCAAGTCTGTTCTTTCTCAAGACTCTCAAATCGACAAAACTGTTCACCTTGAAGCGAAATCTTGAACGTCAGCTGAACTGCTATCAGCACTCGATCTCTCTGATAAGAGGTCATCTTCGTTATCTGAAAGTGAGAGTTTTACCTATACGATGTACCAATAAGGCAAGTTATGAGGGGGATGATGGGTTTATGAATGACTGATGAATCAGCCAAGAGTAAAGCACTCTATCGGGCATTAAAAGGTCGGAAAAAATTATATTTCCAGTTGAAAATCTAGAAATATGTAGCTCTGATCGAAACGAACCATCCAATTCAAGCTCGGCTCCATTTGTTAAGGTTAAGTCGCACTCCTGAAGAGAAATTGTGTCGGTTGAACTTAGTGAGGATGCAAATTTGGTTAGTTTAGGTTGCAAGCTGTCAGTCCACTCGGGCGATCGTAATCGCACTGATAATTTGTGGCCATCTGAAATGGTAAGAGTTTTTGGAAAAAAAATTTTTCGATGGAGCTGATTTCTGAAACACCTACCGATACGAATACCATCCATGCTTAGTGCTGCAATAGCTGCTTCCCCATTCTCAAGAACAATGTGTAAATCGTCGTCTTCAAACCTGAAAGCAATAAAGTAGAAACTAAGTTATTATTCATCAACACTTTTCTACTGAAATTTCTCAAATTCTTTTTAGCAGATTCCTTCCAACAGCAGTCAAATAATTCGCGAGTAGTCCCACTTGAGAGATCTGAACCTATCAAAACAAAAGCGGCTCATTTTTGTAGGTTAGTAATTCGCATTTGATATCAAGATATTTGCTCTGATGTCAAAAAATAGAAAAGTTCGGAAGATACAGATACACATCTGAANATTATTCATCAACACTTTTCTACTGAAATTTCTCAAATTCTTTTTAGCAGATTCCTTCCAACAGGAGTCAAATAAATTCTCGAGTAGTCCCACTTGAGAGATCTGAACCTATCAAAACGAAAAGCGGCTCATTTTTGAAGGTTAGAATTTCGCATTTGATATCAAGATATTTGCTCTGATGTCAAAAAATAGAAAAGTTCGGAAGATACAGATACACATCTGAACTGTCTTGGAAAACAAAATCAGTACCCTTCATAACGTGCAAGACGGATTTTGAAGCCCCGTGAATGTGTTATACAGTAACCCGAAAACCCACTCAAGCGCCTCCAAACATCCTTCACACAACAAAAAGGTACTTCTAGTGAGGCTTTCGGGGTGAGAGGTGGGGCATTTGGTGGTTACCGTATCGCACGTTCACGGGACTTCAAAATCTGACTTGTTCGTAATACTGCTTGACCCTTAAAGTTGAACTTAGTTGTTAATGTTCCGCGTTTTCGGTGTGCATAAATTGATGGCGCTTGGCTTTTATTCATTTATTTATTTTGCTTCTTAATCAACTTTCGTGTTTTTTTCTGGATGGCCAATGTTCTTGTCTTACACTGTACAAAATCACTCAATAAGAAGAGATATGATAACCCCTCCCCCATTGTGGGCAGCGATACTACCCACACTACCGTCTCCTCATCATGAGCCCAGTACATATAAATGATCAATCGTCGACCATGAATGAAACATACTTGCTGAGGCAGATGTGTGCCGGGATTTCCTTGAGTTTTGCGACAATCTGCGGGAAAACCGCCATGGGGAATCGCTGGGTACCTTCTATCGAGCAGATGATTGTGCTGTCTGGTGGACCAAGGCATCTTAAAAAGTGCCGTTGAGGTTTTTCAGACTTCTTGAAGTAGCTATGTAAATATCAACAGAACCTGATAACATCTGTGGTGCTTGATCGAAATCACAGAATAATCTCTACTAATTAATCTACTACAATGAGTTTGACGAAGTTTTCTGTATCGAGAAGATAAGGACATGACGAAGCTTCAGTACAATACCTCCAAGGCTCATGCAATTGATAAGAGATGGAGCAAAGCGGAACAGAACTCACGCCACGATATCTTCAACAAGTTGTACACATTTGACTTGGTCGACACGGAAAACATTCACGGAGAAAAGAGCTCCAACTGGTCGATGATCGGACGTCTTCAGTTCCGAGCGGAAGTACCTGAGTTGAACTTCAGCTCTGTTCTTAGCTAACTCGGTTGCGTATTTCTTACCGTATCAATTTCGTGTTCTTAGGCTCCTGCCGTTCCCTCCACAGTATCCGATCGGTCCATGCTGGTGCACGACATTTCTCGCTAGTGTCATAATCATCAGAAAATGTATCATATTTGTAAGTTGGAGGAAATGACAGTGGGCCTTCGTTGAAGTTGTGGAATACCTGAAATTCATACATATAGATTACTCGAATACTAAAAGCAAAGGAAGAATCTTTTCGAACGCATGCCAGTCCTTTTTATGTTTTAAACCTCATTCAGGCAATTTTGGAACAGGATTAAAGGAAAAGCACACAATAAAAATCGTTTCTGAGATTCCCCTACAGGATGAATTTGAGGCTCCCGCGCATGCCATCTCTGGCACTATTAGGTCATAAAATGGCTTAGTTAGGGAGTTACAGGCTCAAAGATTGGCCCGGCACTGTAGAGGCTGCTCTGATCGAAAGGAAGCCAATTTAGGGAAACTGAATAGCTTGTCATGAGCCATAAAGACAGTGGAAGGTATCTCTGTATAGTTGTGACTTGATGTACTCAGTTCTTCGCCCAATTGCATCAACCGAAATCTCGTCCGTCAAGGTAATCTCGTCCAACCTCAAGATTCCCTACTTTTGAGGGGCCATACTTTTCTCGAAATCGGCGAATTTTCTCGCTTCCTTCACTACCGATGAACTATTCCCGATCTATAAGTACTTCCGCTTTTCGAATAAAAACGGCTGCCTCAAAATTATCGTGAACTGTGCCTTTAATACAGCAAACTGTCAACGTTACTGCTGCTTACTGTTTCCAGTCACCACAACGATTGCCTCCAGAAATGGGTGGTTCCAAATCGTTTCCACTCGGCCAACAGTCGAAGGGACTGGACCACGAGGCATTTTGTCGTTCTTCGAGAAAAGGCGTGCTCTCTGAGGGAGATAATAGAGCGTTTGAAAAGTCTAGAGACCAACTAACGGCTTAGGTCAGGCCGAACCCCAGCCGAGCTTCACATAGCGTAAATTTTTTCTTACTTTTTCCGTAAGAAATTGGAGTTTCCACAAGTTTTCAAACCTTTCAAAACAAATTGACTAAAAACAAAATTGTGGCTCAATTTCGATCAAAACCACTTGATGAGACTTACCAAGCCTTGGGATTTCTGTTGCTGCAACTGATCGAACGCCCATAATCTCTGCAAGTCATCAGAATGAACAGCCTTTTTCACATCATCTCCGCTTAAGTTTATCCTGTAAAAAGGACAACTACCACCGGAAAAACGCCAAAGGCAAAATGTCTCCAATTTAGAAAGTTGGCGATTTTAGGCCAATAATAGCTACTGCCTGGAATGAGGGTACTCCCTAATGTAAGAAAACGTATGTATGTCACTCAAACAAATCTGCTTGTGAAGGTCGCTAGAAATCTAGCTAACGACGTCTTTTACTCATTGATAAAGCCTATCGAGCACTAAACACTGTCTTGTAATCATCTTATTTAGACATGGGCGAATTCCAGTAGAGGAACTAGCTAACCATGGACGCGGAATGAATAGTTTGGAGATAATGTCTCAACTGATTTTCCTTGGGAATCAAAAATTGTATTGCATGAAGATACCTGTAGTTGAAGTCACCAAACCAAAACACGACATCGTGCGAATCGATTTCTCTTCCATGAGGGAACTTAATTCTTCGGAACGCCGAAGTGTAGTCCTCGTTACGATCCCTCACCTGAATCGAAAGGGTACCAATGTAACTAGGTCCGTAACTTCAATTGAAAGCTTCAGACTTCTTAGGAAGGGTCTGCCTGTCTCTGTTCTTGGAAACTGTTAAAGGCACGGATCACGAGAATTTGGTGGATCCATTTTGAGACGAAAATTGGAAGTGGTAGGTCGGAGTGGTGCAAAAATGGCGTAAATTAGCGCAAAACTCGCCACATATAGAGAAAGAGAAGGTTCAAAAAAGTAGAAAAATACGGGGTTGGGCGATAGTGTGACGACAAATGTGGCATGGAGTGGGTATATGGACGAGCTGTCTAATGTGTTTGCCATTGCGTGCAGCTCCATACAGTAAGCTGTGCGTGCAATGTGTGCGTCCCGCTGCAAATGTTGCAACCTCTACATCATCTACAACGCCGTGAGAACTCGCCCGCTTTTGGGTGGATGCGTCTGCTAAGTGGGTTTTGAGGCCCTTATTACACCCTATCTTGGCCACTTTCCGATAAGACAGCGTCCCTGATTGCTATCCTCGAAGGTCATAGGTTTATATAGAGAGGGATCTCACAAACCATTTCTATCATGAACTATTCCTTTGAGACTGGCTCAAGAATATAACCCTAAGGCATTCCGAATTCCGTAATCATTCGATGTGGTAGACGAGCTACACATGAAAGGAAAACCAACTCAATTAATGAATGGAATTTCTTAGCACCGCTTTGCTACAGGGTCATACGGAAAATGCTGCCAGCATAGTGTCCTGTAAGAGTGCTCACTGAAATAAACACTAACCTCGTTTTGACCAGCAGCGAAATGCGAACATACGAAACAAATACTCGTAGAATGCACAACCATTCGAAAAGCCACGGAACCCTACAAAGCAGATGATATTGGTTCCAAGATGGAAATTGCGTTAGGTATGTATATAGAAAAAACATGCAGAAAAAGTAGATACTACATTTCTGAGTAAAGTAGGCTAGTCACTTCAAAATTCTCCAAGTTGGATCTTAAGATCGGCTCGAGCCCACAATTCTGACCCACCCACTTTCTCCTCCTTACAGGGTTATTTTTTATAGTGATGAGCATAGAGATAAGAATCTTCGATGTAGAAGACAAAAGAATGTGGTCATCCTTCTCTCGAGGTCAGAACACAAAGCTCATGAAGCTCATCACCTGAGTTTCTGGCTTTTCTGGGAACAGGGTCTTCATCATATTAGAAAGCATCAAAAAATGTAGGAAATCCCATCACCTAAGTCGCTTGTCGTCCCCTTCATNCTTCGGCGATTTTCCCATGCGCGTGGCCAAGCGATTTTTGGTTCGGCTCGCAGCGTGCATGTGATGCACTTGGCCACAAGGAACGGTTTTTTTCTAACATTGTGAATACTCTACTATTGGGATCCGGCTTTTTTCTATAAGGTTTTCGCATATGAAGAACAACATATCTGTTTAACACTCTGTGGCTTAAGAGATATTTTGTTGGTCAACTGTGCGTGCTAAATCTAAATCACATAAAATCTACTTAGTGCTAAATCCTGCGATAGCCCCCTCGTCTCATTCCAGGAGAGCAACTTCAAGTCGAATGAAGTTCTGTTATCGATTCTGGTAGTATTCCAAAAGGAAGCTTTGGAGAACTCATTCGTGCAACTTCTTATTGATAGCGATGAAGAAACAGGCAATGAAGATGTGCTCATGATGGTTTGCTCGCTGATACCGTTGAATCAAGCGATGACGAAGATAGTGAAGGGAAGTCTGACGCCGGTTGGTCCTCGACTATAGTTCAACCAAGTGTAGAACCCTTTGCCGAGAATAGTGGAATCCAAAACGGCGATGTCTATGCATTCAGCAATGCAATGAGTTTTTACAAGTTTTTCATGACAGACAGCGTTAGATTCATGATTAATATTACGGTGTATGGACGCTCCATATTTCCTCAGCTGTTGGAGTCCCAAGCAGATATGTTGTTCAGCATGTTCGAAAACGTATATTTGCAAATTTTGACTAGCATTGCTTCATAGAGAAAGCAGAAATTTGAGGGTGAAGTTCGTGCATCACCATGTGATGCACTCGGTACGCAATGTGTTGTATGCTTTCCACGCCATGCGTTTCCTTCTGGTCAGCCCAGGAATAAGCCGTTCTTCAAGTTGACTTCCACTCGTTGAACACGCAGTAGAGCATTCGGAAGTATACGTTGCGGTTAGCGTAAACAGAGCACCAGTGACCACCCACCAGTGCGCCAGAGCAAAGTGTCATGAACTTCGTTTTCGTTAAGTTCAGTCTTGAATCGGTCTTTCCCCAGTCAAATTCGGTCAGCTCCGCCTGTTCAAAAGACGAGGTTTGGAAAACGACGTCATCTGCAAAGCGGAGATGATGTAAGTAGCGGCTGTCGACCATCATTCCCATGCTTTCCCATTCCATATGAAGCATGACCTTCTCGAGAGCGGCACTGAAAAGTTTGGGCGAGATGGTATCGCTTTGTCGAGCCCCTCTCTTCACGTAGATGATGACTTCATTATAGAATAGCGACATCCTGGCCGTGTAGAGCTGTTGTAGAGCTCACGAACCATCCTTATATATTGAAGGAATACACTGGTTGCCCAGGGCTTTAATTACTGCTTCTGCACGGTATCAGGACCTCATTCGAATCGATAAACAGATCGATAACATCGATGACATAAAGGCATTTTGATCTCCCGCGATACTTCAGTGAGTCTTGTAACGGTGTGGATGTGATCGATTGTGCTGAACCCTCTCCGGAACCCTGATCGCCTGCATGGCTGTCCTTCATCTAGTATTCTGCCAATCCTGTAAATTGTACTGTAAGTGTAGCCTCTGGGTACGAGAGGATTCCTACGTCACGCTACCAATCAGAACAGCCATGGTTGTTTGAGGATGGGCCTTTCTTTGAAAGATTCTTTTCCCTTAGTTTTTTTTTTTTGAATGTATCAGTATGAAAGAGAGCGGTCCAAGATCATAAAAGTGGAAAAAGAAGATAATGGGCGAATTTACAAAACATGAACAAACCTTATTTCCCGTTGTTCCACCCATACCCGTTTTGACTGAAGAAACAGCAAAATCTTTGATGAACGGCACAAGTCGTGGCCGTACAAAAACAAAAAGGCAAACACCGACCTAGAAAAGCAATGTTGGGAAAATCCTAAATGAATTATTACAAGTGTTTTGCTTGTGATTACCAGTTGTTCAACGACTAAAAGAGTGTATGAGCCATGCTCGTGTAGAACCCGTCGGATTCCATCGGCCCACAATCGTTGGTTTGTTGTGCTGAATGGAATTGGCTTATGCTTGGTCTTCACATATCAACAACCCAAAGGATGGATGGTGAAAGGACCAGCAGGTGTTCAGAGAGAAGAGGAGAAGAAGATTTTGATGGTCGGTTCGGTTTGTTTTTCGAGAGCAATGAGACTCATTACTGATTCACTTTAGAAGTTTCACCTTCTGTTCCCTTTTTTATGCAGTTTGTTTGCTTTTCCTCCTTAATTGGTAATGTTGTAATATTTTTTGGAATAAATAAACAATTCAAACAAGGTTAAAAAAACACATTTTCAATAGTGAATCGAGTCACCTACCAGATAGCGACACGATTGAGTTTACGATAGAACGGTAGACAAACGGTAACAACAAAAAAAAAATAAAAGTAAAGTGAAAGTTCTTTCAAAAAACATGAAAAAACGTTCCCTAGCTAGTTATCTCGTAGCTGGCCTTCGTAGAGCAGGGGAGAGGGTGCCTACAGTAGCGCTCAAAAGTATTCGGCCGAATGCTTCTTCAGTCGTACTTTCAGTCATAACTTCTCTCCTACTGGATCTAATCATGCGAAATTCCAATATGTGTAGCACGGGTGAAGTGTTAATGTTTACCACTATTAACCTGCATTCCGATCATATTCCAAATATCCCAAAGAGCTTGGGATCAAAACCAACTGAAAGCAGGAACATTGGTGCTTCTAAGATTCCTTTCCTTTTTGCCATGTCCGAAGTGTACGAGTGCTAATGTCGAACACAGCAGAAGAGAAAAACGCACATGTGGGGAAAACTGCAAACGTCACAAACTTGCTTCCAGCATAGTCTACAAACGCCTTTCCCTTAGTTATGTGAATATTGCTGCTTCGCAGTCGAATAGTGTTAAATAGTGTGAGATATGCTTCAGTTAAAAATATCAAAATTTCATGCGATTTGCTCCAATGAGGAACAAGTTACGGCCGCAAAAGCGCTTGGCCGAATATTTTTGAGCGCTACTGTAGATGTAGATAGATAGGTGTAGCGTATAAGAGAATACTCACCTTGCTTTCACTAAATTGGATGCGTTGAGATCAACCAGTTCCTCGAGTCCTATGGCAATAATTTCCGGAGCTTCATCCACATTATCAACTGCCACTGCAAAATACAAATGCCACTATACAGTCGACAAAACTTCTAATGTTTCGTTGAAAGTCACGCAGGCCAAGATAGACGAACAGATGGAGACTGAACCATTCACTCTCTTACACTGTAGCCATTTCCGCGCCATACCTGGCCCATTCCCATCAGGGACACTGACTGCACTAAAGCTGGTCTATTCATCTTCTCAACCAAAAACGAAAAATTTCTCTGCGCCCCTTCCACTGCTAAACCTGCAAAAATCATTCAATACTCTTCCTTGAGCTTTCGAGCTGCATTTGAACGTTCTAATGAAAGTCAGGCAACTGCTTAAAAATTTGCTGGTAATCATCCTCACTGTTGAGGTGTGCTCTCGAACTCAGTTCAGAATCGCAATAACCATTGAATGCCTATACGGTCTAAACAATTAGTTGTGGTGGCCAGCCGATGGATTAGGTAATGCTATTACCCTAACAGGCGTGTCTGGTAACCGTTAACCAACCCCGCAAGGATGCAAGCCTTGTTTGGCCTAGGCGTTCTGGGACTTGAACCAATGACCACGCGCTCGATCAGTGCGCCACTTGCCACTATACCACCTCTGCATAATGCCCAATGTAGAATAGATGAAGCGACGACAGAAAGTTCGAAAACAAAGAAAACTTTAATTCACTCACCAAGCGTCCCATTGGGAAAAATCCAATCGGCCATGTTTGACTGGTTACGGAACGCTATGTTATGCATGTTCTTACCACCGTTCACATTCCATGTACCTGACAAATCGGCAATTCGTACAGGAACGATAGAGGACTTTGCAACACGCTTAACTCACCTATGAAAATTTTGATGGGATAGGGCGACGTCATTTCCGAAGCACGACTAACCACCTGTTCTACAGCTTCATCGCATTCTGCAATCTACACGATTGCCTGTTCTTACTTTTAAATTATCAAGGTTTTCAATTAAGAAGGAAGGAAAAAAGAAAAATTCAAAGCCCGAGAAAGAAAAATAAAAAAAGGCGAGAACAAATAACTTGAACGTACCGTAAAAGTAGTAGTCGTCTGAAAATAGCATAATTAAAAGGGATGTGAAAAACTTCGATGAAGCCTTGATCGTTTTCTCCTACCGTTCTCCCTCGTGAAAACTATTCTAAACATACTTTTTCACATAAGCGGAAGAATTTTATAATAACCACCGAACTGGCCACCAGGATCCTATTGATTCTTTCTTCAGTGCGCCAAACACTATCCTACCCTCCCAAGGTTCGAGAGGAGCTGGTTGAGATTCAAGGGAAATCATCGACAAATTGAGAGCATGTGCACCGTTTTCCAGAGCATACCTCTTCCTATACGCCAGAGAAGTTGCTGCTCCTCAGAGCGTTTTCCTCTGATCATTTTTCTCCCATTCACTGTGAGGGTATAAGCCACGCACTTATTTTCCAATAAGAATTGCAATGGCTTCCAATTAGGATCTACTTTATAATTACATAACCTTGTTCAGGGGTGTTCAGGGCTAGGCTGGCCGACAAGCTTCCAAAAGAGCCCGGTGTTTGTTGACCGAATGCCACCTGCGCCTACCTATTCGCCACCGAATGAGCGGGAACAGTAGAAGAGAACGACTCGATGGGGTAACTTGTAAGCACCTTGAAGGATTGAATAAGGAAGTAGGTTGACGGCCTTGTCGAATGCTGGCGATTCAAAAAATGCACCAGATAGGAAAATGTCGAACGACTCTTGCTTAGAACTGTCCATCAAGTTGTTTTGTATCGTACGAGCTATCGAGCGAGACGCGTCTTTCAGCTGTAATTTCGTCGATCACGTTTTGCCACACACATTTCAAAGAAGGACTTGAAGATCAAAATAAAGGAAGAGAGATGGTCACCTTGCTTTTTCCGTCCAGGGCACCAGTTCCTGCGTAGATATTGCTGCATAGATCTCCATTCTTTTGCCAAAGATCACGTAGAATCTCTTCGATACGCTGACTGATGTTCACCTTGCCTTTTTCTAACTCCAAAGCAGCCACCTGATCTCGCACTACCTGAATACATCGACAATATTACTATGGTTGTTTTTGGACCACGACAGCATAACACCCTCTTCCTCGGATCATAACGGAAATTTGTCCGCCAACTACGAGCAATTGAAAAAAACCTAACGGCACGACTTTTGTTTGTGGGGAGCTCAATAGATGTCGAGATTTTTTGGTGTTAATCAATTTCGTTCTTGAGGTACATCCCCGGATTCAACTTCCATTCACGATCATCCATAACCAGTGGCGTTTTGAATGAGCATGTGGCCTTTACACTTATTTTAGAGTTTTTACCCTCCCAGACGCGTATTGTGCCAATTGAGAGACACCAGAGGGGTGGGAAGCTCGGTTGGTTTTGGCATATACCGATCCAGGATTTGATCCCCTATCATGCGTGCGTCTGTGGGTATAGGTCGCCACTTGCCCCTACACCACCTCCACCCGAGTAGGTCAGTATGTGTCTTGAAAGCGACAAAAAGCGATAAAAATGAAGAAGAAAACCCAGATTAGCAACGTTTTTGGGAAAAAAATTATGGGCCGTGTGGATATTTTTCCCCCTGCTCGCTATAAAATTATTCCACCGCCTGTACTCTATTCACACTTGGATGATCTGCTTCCAAAAGAACAGGTGTTTTCGATTTTCGGCCAAACACGCACACTCGAACACAATTGACGCGTCTCAGGTGCAAATTAACAATTTTTGCGCTTGCCACGTTCTGCGGGCGAAATTCGGTCCCGCCACCCACCAGAGGTGTTCCCATCCTGTCGCCTGTACTTCTACCAAAGTTGAACGCTCTAGGTCCATAGAGACAGGAGTTATGAATTTTCGGTCAAAGACACACACCAGCACACACACCGACACACCCACACACACACATACCAACAGACACATTTAGTGCATTACACATAGTAGGATAACGAACCAGAAGTCCGACGGCTGTCTGAACGGAATTGGTCCGGTCAAGGCAATCCAGGCAGTTCACCCGTAAAACGCCTGTCTGTTGACTATAAACAAAGAAATGAGGTTTTCAAAGCAGAATAAGCAACAAAAATTAAGTATTCGCAATGTACCCACCTTTTCACACCTCCATCAGATGCCAAATAAAAAGAGCTACTAGTAATTAATGGAGCGAGCTTTTTGATGAGATAACTTAGAGAATCTTTGGAGATCTTCATTTGATAGTGGTAGTCGAAGTCAACAAATTCGATAGAGTCAGCCAGCTTAGAGCTTTTATGTTGAATCTGGAAATATCAGGACACTGGGCGTGGTCAATCAGTACTGGTTACTAATTTAGAGTTTGGCAAAAGTTAAAAGGAAAAGGGGAATCGAGAATTTCAAAGAAAAACACCCACACGGAACGCATCAGCGAGAACTCGTTCACCCTCTTTTCTGCCTAGGAGATTCACCACTGTGACTTGACCATACATTGACACCAATCGTGACATGTGCCTGGAAAACGAAAGGATGTTTTTGCTGTCTTTTAGGGAACGAATATGGAAAATTGTGTATTTATAATTACAACAATTTGGTAAATAACCTGTGATAGGCTGGACCGCTAGCTTCGAATGCTCTCAATTTCACCTTGTGGGACCCGACTTGCACACCTGGCTGTTCCCAGTACAGTGGCACAGAGCCCCGAACTTGCACCAAAGAGCACTCGCCTTCGTCGAACACAAGCACCTGAAGTAACACTTAAGTGATTAGAGCACCTTCGTAATATCGTCGTACCTGCTCGGTTTCAACGAAATTGGCAACAAATCCTTGTGAATTTGCGCCGCGCACATTGAATCGCGTACCGACTCGCTCACAACTGAGTCGGGACAGCAGGGCAACTCGACCAGTCCGATGGCCCACATAAACTGTGCGCACCAAAACAGATCTTAAAAAANAAAAAATCATTACAAGAAAGGATTATGAGGATGTCATTTATTTTGTCATACCCAGTTAAACTTCCGGTCTCAAAGCAAAACCTCCCCAATGACGGTCTATTGTATAATGGGTTTCTACAAAACATCCTTCAAAAACTCCATATCTACCTTCACAGGTTTAGCTCCACGAAACTGGGCCTAGTGAACTAACTAGTCCTTTTTCAAGAAATTCCACTAATATTACAGAAAGGAGGAAGAATATCAAGAAAATAAAAGAGGTAACTTTCCAACTTACCCCACAATGCATTTCAGCAGCCATTGGCAGTTGTCTATGCCAAATCTTTGAAAAGGAAAATGCAGGGTTCTGTTCCTGTAATCAAGATTAACAGATCAAGGATGAAGCCCTCCGACGTTGAACAATCCCTCTTCGTGGGAGCGCCCCTGCATTCAACTCTAATTCAGAATCGTGGTGGCCTTTTGAATGCGAATGTGGCCTATGTGGCCTATGCAATGACTTGCGGTGGCCCTCCAAATACTCGCTTGGTTTCCACGGGTATCGTTCCGAGATCAAACCTCCAGACCGTGCCCCGCGTGTAGTTACGTGGGCCACTTGCCACCTCACCCTTCCGATGCATAACCAAAATAGGTTCCTATAATTGCTAAAGTAAATACGTCATGATGCTGGTCCTCTTTATTAGGGAGCTGATTCCTTCTTAATGCCCTGATCGTTTTTTTTTACGAGACCTAAGGGGAGGGGGAGGTGGTGTAGTGGGAAGTGGCGCACTATCACAAACACATGGTCACGGGTTCTATCCTCGATTGACTTTCGCCTAGGTTAACCAAGTCTTCATCTCTCCGGGCTTTGGTCGTACGCGAAGCTTGAAGTAGACTCGTCCGAGAGCATAAAAGTGCTGACTTGTACATCGACTGACCACCGAAAACCAATGTGTAGGCCACAATTGCATTCAATACGCCACTATGATTCTGAATAGAGGTCGAATGCGGGGGCACATCGTTCAGGCAATATCGATCAACGCTCGAAGACTTCAGCTTTCCTATTCTTTGATTCCAGAACTGAGGTACGACTTTGCCCCAGTCGAGATTTCTGGACATTATTGCAAGGATTCGACCAAATCGCTTACCAGAAAAATCGTGAATCGCTGCCCGTACTAGTAGATCGCCGCTGCGCACATAAGGTTATGTCGTACCGAGGATTTGAAGAGTAATAAAATATACCAGAAGATAGTAAACGTTGCAGCTGAAAGAATGGAAGTTAATAAATCAGTGATATTCAGGAAGTTTTGATAAAGTCGTCGTAGAAGCGCAAATGTGTTTTTGGAACGGGAAAAGCCCTCCGTGGTGGAGTAGAAAAATTGTGACGGGTGTGGGGGACACGTGAATAGAATCGACTTCAACGGGCCTCTGAAGGACGTAAAATCTCGAACGGCAGAAGAATTCAAAGTAACAAGAAATAATGGTGTTGTTGTTAAACAAGACTTAGAACAATAGAAAGCGAAGAGAACTGAAAAGCACTGACAAAAACTTCAGGAAGGAAGAGGCACCAATTGTAAAGTCGCCACGGCTTTCCTGTTAACATTAGAACCTCATAACCCAATAGAATATTTTCTGAGGAAATCCAGTTAAATCCTCTTGAACCAACCATCTACTATCCAGTGTTTATAAGCTATCCGGTCTGGTAGCAATAAATCAAGGCCGGAGGGGTGGAAACTCAGTTGCTTGAGGACATATAAACTTGTAAATCGATTGCCGTACTGTGTCTGTGGTAGTAGCGGGACTTGGCACTCTACCGTCTTCGCCTATTCCTATTAAAGTAGCTCGAACTGACGACATGGATAGGGGTTGTAGCACTCAGAAAGAGGCTTTCTCCAATGACTTACATCAAGTACACGAGGATCCAGACACTCGACGGATCCGATCGTTTTTAGCGAGATCAATTCGCAAGAGATTACTTTGACAATATCAGCCCCGTAGAGCTGGCCAACGGACAGAACTCCAGTAACGGCAACGAGAACATGCTCATCTAAATCGCTTACTAGTCACTTGTGAACGTAAACTTGATGAAAGTAATGAGAAGAATATAAACCTTTGGTTATTCGAAGCACACCCATCAGCCCATACGAATCCATCACTTTCGTGTAGCCTCGCCTCTCTACTTCAGCTGCCGCAGAATCTAAAGCAATTTAGAACTCAAAAAAAAGATCACACCATTAGAAGGCTTATAGCCAAGCTTTTATCAATACATATAATATTATTTCACCTCAAACATGAGGTAATCAAAAGCTTTGAAAATTGAGCAATAGAATATCGCTTCTACTTCTTGGAAACCACTATTGAGGCAGCAATTAAGTTAAAACTGAGATGAATAGGTAGCACTTAGCTAGAAAAAGAAGGTGATATACATATTTTCAAGTATGGGCAGAATTGTGTATTGGCAATCGGCGCACCACCCCGCAGAAATGGTCCCGGACTCGAATCCCGGATCGATTCCCGCCTTGGCCAACTAAGTCTTCCATCCCTTCGGGGTCGGTTAATCGCTACCAGACTCGTCTGAAAGGGTAAAAGCACTGACTTGTACATCGGCTAGTCACCCAACTCAGTGAATAGGCATTCAATACGCTACTGTTCTGAATGCGGGGCGCATCCATCAGATGGGAGTCATAAGCGCCCGGAATCTTCATCCTTAATCCTGCATTTAATCAAGTAAGGTTAAGTAAGCCTTGCAACCCACCCTAACGGTAACGAACTCAAAGGCAAAATAAATCGAGCACGGAAAACCCGAGGTAGAAAAAGAAGCGCGTGGTTTTACCACAACACTTGACCCTATAGGTGGTAGAGGGAACGGTGAG